AGAGCTGCAACACGAGGAATTTAAAAGATTTTTTCATTATCGAATAAGCATCGGCTTATCGGATAGTCAGTCAATTAGTCGATTCCCCCCCTTGCTGCCTCTATCAGATCCTGGTTTCAAAGTGACAGTGCAACATGGAGCCCAGGGTCAGCGGGGGACTCCGAGTACCCTGCTGACCCCAAGCTCCATGCTGCGCTGCCTCTTTGAAATGCACAAGAGCCCCCGGCTGGAGATTCTTGTACATTTCAAAGCTGGCACACAGTGTTCCACATTCCTCCTTTGAAATGTACAAGAATCCCCAGCGTAAAAAAGCCTAAGTGAACAGTGACAGGATCAAGTAAACTACTTTTAGTGCCTGTGTGAACCTGAAAGACAGAAATTAACTTTATATATAAAGAATTAAATTTATATATAAAACTCGAAGAGGTTAATAAAAATCACAAAGTGGCCAAAGTCACTGCAGAGTTGGTATTAAAACAAAGTAATTTATATCAATTTAGTAATTCCATAATTACTAAATTATAAATTTGGAACCTGAATGTATTGTTTCTAATGAAGGCCTCAGAATCAGACTTGCAATAAAATTGTCAAGTGCTATATTTTACTTTTATTCTACACATCAAATATCTGGTGAAATCACAGGCAGTGTTTTGCAAAACTAAATTGGGAATGCAGCACATGGTCATCTGGATGCATTAAGATAAATTTCAAAAAGTCAAGTTCTCAGCAATGATACAGACAGAAAAATTAAGCTCAGTCCTTAAGTCCTTACTGAAGAGAAAAAATAAATAGTTTTGTACAAATAAAAAGACTAAGACCGAGTCTACAGTGATTGCATCATTACAATGGTCAAACTAATTTGGACACCAATATTAAACATTCATACAACAGTTCAAGCATAAATATGAAGAGACGAGATTTATTTGTATCTTTATTAAATTGTAAATAAACTCCCTCGCTGTCCCAGTTTAGTAGTGTTTATAAATAAAGCCCTGCAAATCTACAGATCTTGCTTTTATATCTGCTAGAGATGTTAGATATCGTGTAATTGAATAATCATATAACTGCACACAAAAAATGTTATCGGATACACAATTATTCGATTGTCCCCAGGGCGGGACTGGCAGCCAGTGCGCTCCCAGTGCGCTCCTAGCCCTACTCCAGGGGAACCCCCTGCGACCCTACACTGCTACCTCTGTATTAGAGGCAGCAGCACAGACTGGCAGTCAACAGCTGGTCAGTCTGCAAGGGGATCAGGTTTAAAAAACTGGTTCCCCGCGAAGACCAGCTCCTGCCTGCTGCCCTGTGCTGCTGCCTCTGATACAGAGGCAGCAGCATGGGGTGGCAGCAGCCTCTGTTCATGGCGAACCTGGGCCTGCCATGGATAGAGGCTGTATCATGGCAGCCTCTGCTGCCTTTGCTAGTGTGGGGGGGCAGGCAGGCTGGTATTCATGGGGAGCCGGCTTTAAAGCTGGCTCTCCCCTGAGCACCGGCTTCTGCCTGCTCAGTACTGTCTCTGTGGGAGATAGCAAAGGTATCCTGCCTGCCCCCCTCACCCACTGTGCAGCTGCTTCTATCAGAGGCAGCAGTGTGGAAGTGGGAGGAGCCAGGTGTCTCCACGGGATCCAGTGCCCATGGGGAGCAAGGTATAGAGGCCTGGAAGGTGGTGGAAATGCATGTTATCTATAGGATTAACCAATAAGCATTCAATTACCAAAAACTTCGTTGTTCAATTTATTATACATTTCTAAACTACTGAACTCTATTCATTTTACCTTTTGCCTCAGAGCAGACACCCAGGAACCCATCTTCAGTCAACACCTTAAACAATGGTCTGACTCCATACGTATCTCTTCCCAGAAACACTTTCCTGTTTGCAGTGTCCAGCAAGATGAACGCAAACACACCATCTAGCATGGAGGCTGTTTGCTCTATTCCTCCTCTGTTGTAAAGATGAAGGATTACCTCACCATCTACTAAAGTTTGATAGTCAAATCCAAATTGCTTTTGCAACTAAGGAAAATAATTATTAGAAAGAAAAAAAAACCCATTAGCATTCATTGATACTGACTGAATTTATTTTTACTTGCAAAAAAAGAACATTTTAAAAAATAACAAAGGTTACTTGGTAGATAAGAGTTTGAAAACTCTGTAGATGTTTTCATACAAGCAAGGAAAGGATACACTTATGTTTCAGATGTGAACTTGGTTCTATTTGCTGCTCTGTCACTGACATCCTCTGTAAATCACTTCAGATACAAATTTTCAAAAGTGGCTTAAAATTGTGTGCACTTCAGTTGATGGTTGTAAAATCTGAGACACCCTGTCTCTGATTTTTAGAGAGACAGAGCTCACAATCTAAAATTAAACCTCTTACTAAAGACAATACTACTTATTTACCTAAAAGGGGTGTGGTGGTGGTTAATTCACTAATATTTCTTAAGCACTTTGGAAATTAACTGTATTTGCTTTAATTATACAATACCATTATAATGCAGTAATAATATTTTACATTTCTACAGTGTCTTTGACCTGAGAATTTCAATTTTCCAGTTTAAAAAATGGGAGAATTAAAAAAATATATATTTGTTCAGTGAAATTTAAGATTCTTCCATAAGCAAAAATACAGTTCCAGATGCCAGAAGAATTAGCAGCCATGAGTATGCTTCATGACCTTATTGTGCTACTTTTAAAAATTATTTCTATCATCTACTAGATAGTAGAAAATATCTATAAATAAACTGTAGGACAGCAACTGTAAAAAGGATACTTTCACTATATTTTTGATCATTTAAGAATATTTTTAAATCATGGAATGAAATCTTGGCCTCACGGAACTGAAAGAGAATTCGGTCATTGGAAAGGTGGCTCTTTAGCAACCAAGCTCTAAAAACATACTTGCCAACTAACTGGAAAGCTGAATTAATCCCTTTACTCAGTAGTTTTTAACTACATCAGTGCACACATCATTTATAAACCTTACTGATGGCAATGCACGATTTGCTTAAGAACTGCAGGGTTGGATTTTAATTCAGAGTCTGTGTTTAGAAAGCAGTAAGTGCTATCAAGAATGACTATGACATATTGCAGAAAACTGCTGATACATGGGACTCTGTATGTGCTTTGCTTTGCAGTATGTTATGCTCATTCTCAGTAGCTTACAGCAACAGTCAGACACTGAAAGAGACACACATTCTGCAGTGCTTATTTAGTCAAACCACCAGTGACATCAGTGGGAACAAGATTGAGTAAGCATTTGCTAACAATCACAGCTGCTACCGACCCCTACATTCCATATTTAACATGCTGGTGTGACCATAGATAGGTCTTGATTCAAGAAGGTATTGTATGCATAACATTTAAGGATATGGTAGAATCAGACACTAGATTAGGGCCACAGTACCAGGTTTTCAAAGGTATTTAGGAACCTAAAAGATACTTAAGAGTGACTAATTTGAGCATGTAACTCCCAATGATTTCAATGAGATTTAGGACTGATCTATACTGGGAAACTTACATTAGCATCGCTACATCTCTCAAGGCTGTGACAAATATACACTGTTGAGAGACACAGTTATGCAGGCCTAGCCCCTGGCATAAACAGGGCTATGTCAAATGAAGAATTCATCTGCTAATCTAGTTATCACCTCTCAGGGAGATGGATTAATTACTGCAATAGGAAAACCACTCCCATTGCTATAATGAGAGCCTTCTACACTGAAGTACTACAGCTGTTTTGCTGTAACACTTGAGGTATAGACACGTAATCTGCTTAGGTGCTTTTGAAAATTCCACCGAACTTCTATCTACATACTCGAGCAGTATAGTGGAAGAGATTCCTCAAAATAATCTGCAGAACACCAAATTAAAGAGAACTTTTTTTAACCCTGAATTCTTCAGTAGTAAGCACTGACTATGTGCTTATTCCTCAGAAGCTTAAAACTGGAGTAGATTTCTTTACTAACGTATTTTTCCTTTTGTCATTTATACTTAGTCACTATTTACTATAAATATTTGAAGGACTAATGTACTGTGTGTGTCTCTCCTACACTTATGAATCAGCTCCAGATTTTCACCCAGACACTTTGTTTTTGAAGCTGCATCATTTGCTCTAATATTCTAGCCCACAGTGTTTTAAAGAAGTTCCAAATCTTCTCCGGCACTGAGGTACCACAGATTACGGTCTATTTTTTTTTTTTACCTTGTTTTTTTTTACCTGTTTGAAGTTGTAGATTTCTCCATTGTAACACAGCCATAAATATGGAAACTTCTTCACCCGAATAGGCTGCATGCCATATAACTGATCAACAATTGCAAGACGATGGAAACCAAAACAACAGTTGGTGAAGCCATTGACGTTTTCAAAACGAAATGCATCAGGACCTCGGTGGGCTATTTTCATGGCACTTAGACACTGAACAGAAAGGCATTCATCACTTCCAAAAAGGGCCCAGATACCACACATTTTGAAATTGGTTGTGAGCTGACTCTCAACTACTTAAAATGAAGAACCTGTTAACAGAAAGATATGTCATCATACAACATGCTTTAGCTACTGCTGATCCTAGGAAGCATATTTAAATTTCTTGACTACAGATAATTAAGTACTGACTTATGAAGAAAGCAACTTGGTTTTAGGCCCTATTGACAGAAGGTTGATTAAAAAGCAACAACCCGGAAAGAGGACATTAGCAAAGCTTTCACAGGACAACAAATCAGGTTTCAGCTCATATTTACAGCACAGTATCATAGATTGATCGGATATAGTCAGGAGTGGGAATAAAACATCATTTCCATTAGTCCTGTTAAAAGCTACTGTTCTAGCCAAAAAGAAAAGAAAAAAAGAACAAAGAAAATTTGTTAATGTTTTCCTGTAGCTCTGGGGTGGGGAACCTTTTTTCAGTCTGGGGCTGCTAACCCACAGAAAAATCAATTGAGGGCTGCACAAAAAAACACCCCTCACTGACATGGTCCCTGATTGAGGAGAACACACTCCCCACATTGCTCTCTCACACCAGAGCCTAGGAAGGCCCAAGCTAGCAGATTTTGTGGGCCCCAACCCCACGGAGAGTTGCAGGGGATAGAAGGCTGGAACACTAGCTCTGATTCCTGAAAGCTGGGGTGGGGGATCCCCAAGCCTCAGGAGATGGATCCAGACAAGCCCCGGGGCCTTAGATTCCCCACTTCTGCTATAGCATGGGATCCCAAACTGGGGGGCATGAAGAAATTCCAGGGGGACGCGAGGCAACCCAGCCCCCTCCCCATCAACACCCTCCTCCCCTAAGTTTTGCTGCTATTTTTGTTTTTTGGCCCCAGTCAATTCCTTTTTTAAATTTTTTGCTCAACAAGCCTTCCTGCTATTTGGGGGGGGAGGGGGCATGAGGGTTTCTCACAAATCAAAAAAGGAAAAGTTTGGGCACCACTGTGCTATAGCAAGGAGGTAACCCTAAAAGAAATACATCCCTCACAATTTCTAACAAGACACTGCAATAGAAATTAGATATTAAACTTAATCAAGTTCTCCAATGGACGGGACTAGATCACATAAGGTTGCATATGTACTAAAGATGTTAAGAGGAGGGTAATTTGCTAATCATATAGTTGACAGAATTTTTATCGACTACATGATTAGTCGATAAGGGAAAAAGCACTCACTCCCAGCTTGCACAGTCCAGGAGCTACACTTGCAGCGACTCTGTAGTTTAAATGTAGTAAGATCCGGGAGGGCAGGCAAGTGCAGAGTTGCAGCAGGAGTCCATCCCGCATCCGGCGCAAGCCAGGATTAAGCCAGGCTTCCTGGCCAGCCTGAGCAGCCCATCTGCTCCAGCAGCAGCCCCTTCCCATAACCCAAGCCACCAGAGACAGGCGCTGCTTGGCAGTAGCCTCCCCTCACCACCCCCTTGCCTCTAACAGAGGCAGCAGCATGGGAGGGGGGTGAGGCAGGAACAAGGGGGTGGGGCAGGATCCCATTTAATAAGTTAAACCTAAGATTTAACAGGTTAACTGATTAAATGGTATTTTACATCCCTATAGACAAAACTGACTGCATAGGCAATTGAGCTTTTTCACTATTTTGTATTTACTCTATTGTGTGTGGCCTTCACTAAGCACCAAGGTAGGAAACTTTGTTGTAAACACAAAATAGGGACATAGATTTGTCAAGCCATAAAAACTGGCTGGCAGGCCCAGAGATAGGTGTAATTACTTCAAAACTACTTTCAGTTTAATTGACTCGATTTTTTTTAAACCCTTAATTCTTTAGTAGTAAGCTATGTGCTTATTCATCGGAAGCTTAAAGCTGGCGTAGATTTCTTTACTAACTTATTTTTCCTTCTGCCATTTATACTTAGTAGTCACTATTTACTGTAAATATGTGAAGGACTATTGTATTCTGAGTCTCTCCTGTACTTATGAACCAGCTCCAGATTTGGCACTGTCTGGTTAACGCCGCATGACAACCTTTTCCATTTTGATTTAGTTGGGATTGGTCCTGCCTAGAGCAGGGGGCTGGACTTGACCTTCTGAGGTCTCTTCCAGTTCTATGATTCTATGATTTTCTTAACCCTGGAGTAAAATGTTTGTGTGGGAAGCCCATTTCATTGAGTACAATTTCATGAGAGTCAGATCCTGTCCCCAAGAATCTGAACACGCGCTGCCTTCTTCAATTCTTCCGGCCTGATGCAATTCTGCAAGTCTTCTTTTCTCTGATGCAACCTTAGTGCCGCTTTGCCCAGCGGTGAGTCAGGAAGCCTCTCCCTCGCCGGGGCTGCAGCGCCTGAGGGTCCATGTGGGCACCGGGCTCGCCCCGCACAAACCCGCTCACAGGATCGGGACCTCCGCCCGCGAACTTTAAGGGAAGGGGGCAGGGGTGGGGCTGCCTCTACGTCATCACCGAGCCAAATGGAGCCCTCCGCCGTTCGCGGCTCCCGTGGGCTCTCAGTAGCGCCGCCACGTGCCGCCC